AAATGAAACGAGGCACCAACTTAGAATTCTGTTCCGTCAAGAAGACTCCAGACAGCAACTGGCCACTGAGAAACGCATCGCAATCCACAACTTTGGCAACCAAGACAAAAGTGATCTCTGCATTGTAGCCCAGTGCTCCTTTTACTTTGATGACCTCTTTGCACTCGAGCACAGGGCGCGTGAGCGCTGGCATCGTGGCGGGATCTTGCCGGGCCCGTCCAAAGAGTTCGTTGGGCGCAAACTTTTGTGATATAGTCAATCGTGCAGTGAACGTCTCTCGCTTCGCCGAGGCGCTCGCGTCATCCTTGGCGTTCTTCGGTGGAGTAGCTCGAGTAGGTGCGCCCTTGCCGTCGCGAGGTAGCCACGCGCCAACCCGCTGGGGACCTCGAGGTCCATCCACGAATGCTTGGGTCCATTATGCTGTCGGTTCCTCCGTCATTCAGGACTTCCACTGATGGTATAGAAGACCACATGAGGTAACCACTAGCTTCGATCCAGTGGCTCGTCGCCATTCACGAGCCCGCCGGTACTCATGATCCGCTTGGCATGCTATGACTGCGGGCTTCTAGATGGTGCGATCTCTGATGTTTGCCACTTGGTAAACTGGCGCTCCTTGCACGCGCAAGGGCCCGCAGCCTTCGATGTGGTCGACCTGCAGGTGGTAGCGAAGCTCCTCCAGCACTGTCGTCATCTTGGGAATCTTGGTCAGCACCAGCCTGGGGCGTTCGGTGGGGCTTCCCTGACCTTCTTGTTGTATCGTCGCAAGCCTTCAGCAGCCCGCGAAGGGACTCCACGCCATCTTCGTGAGTAGGATTGCACGGAACCTCGCCCGCCTTCCTGGTGATCGCCTTCACGACCTCTAGGAGCGAGGGAGAACTCGATGTGGTAGCCAACGGCTGAGGAGCTCTCGACCAGCTCCTCGGCTGCCTCCGTGCTGACGACGCGTGGATCTCCACGTCGCTCGACGGGGACGCAGCGGCGCGCGACGAACCGGCAATCACCCCGATTAGCTCGATCATCGCCCGATGCGCCGAAGAAGAGAGCGAGCAGGGCCCCACTGATGTCTACGCGCCCGCGTGACAGCAGACCCTTGCTTCCCATGGCCTGGTTGACCGCCTCCTCAGGGTGGGTCAGGCGCATATATATATATATATATATATATATATATTCCCAGTGGCAGAAGCGCAGAGCGAACTCCCACCCAGACGCCGTTGTCCGAGTGGAAAGCACCGCGCGTGCCGCCCGGAAAAAGAGTGTAGGCAGCTAGCGGCCTGACGTCTCATCGTCGTCGTCGTCCTCCTCCCCCTCCTCCTCCCGGGTTCAGGAAAGCCCCCTTCCCTCTCTCGCGGCCTCTTTGAGCAGCCTGACATGGCCCATATTGTCGAAAGAAAACTCGTCGACCTGGTGCGCGGGAACGCGATGATGTGTGAGATGGCGCCAGTACATTGCTAAGCCGGAATTCCACCAATTGAGCCTTGGTCTCCCCGCCCGCCTCGTTCCGTAATCTTTGAGTCGTAGCGTGTCACTATGGATGCAAATGTCTGTGATGGGATCGGAAGATTGCGCAGTAATGACTTCGGCGATCAGCATTCGCCGTCGTCGTTCATCATACTCGCTGATGGGTATGATCTCTTTAATCGGCCGGAAACCTCGGACATTGCCATTCGCTCTATCTACCCATCTGTTCACTACTTCGTTAGCACGGCGAAAAACAAATTCATTAGTGTTTGCCCTGTTCACGTATGTTGTCTGAAGCTTCAGAATTTGCCGCAAGCCTTTCAGCTGGAACGCGTCTATTTTCTTTTTAAGTGCAACGTTGACTTGCACAGACTCTAATCCGTAAATAAGTTTAGAACGAACCACGGCGTCGTAAACACCCAGCTGAAGCCTTACGCTGCAGTCGGCGTGCTTCCAGAACTCCCCTAATTTCTTCCACGTCACAAAAGAATCGGAAATCCTCTTGTTCACCTCTCTGACAGGGTCGCCTTTGTCGTTTAACATGCAACCCAAATATTTCGCCTCACTGTGCGGAGGCACTGACTGCCCATTTCTGAAGGAAATTGTATCGTGCCCCCTACGCACACAGCTTCACATTTGGTTTTGTTTAATACCATGCCGCACTTGTCTCCCTCCCTCTCGATTGCGCGCAGCAGTTCTTGCAGGGCCTCATTGTCCTCTGAGAAAATTATGGTGTCATCCGCATAGAGGACCTCATCCAGTAGGGCGCCCAGTACCCTGTGGTGTCTCAATGTTTCACGCAGCCCGGGCGCGCTATGGACGTCCCTGAACATAACTGTCATAACGATGAGAAAAAGGTACGGGGACAGGGGACAGCCTTGTCGGAAGCCCCTATGCTGGCGGTGCCATTTCGATGTTCTGCCCTCCATTTCAACGTGGAATTGTGGATTTGTGCACGCCTCTTGTGTGAGCCGAATGAGTTTCTCGTGGATGCCTATCCTTTCCATAGCTTTGAACAGCCCAGCATGTGATACCTTGTCGAATGCTTTCTCCCAGTCGAGCAAGACCAGATTGATTTTTCTGCCCGTCCGCTCTCCCAGATCCAAAATCCGACGTATGATGTGAACTGCATGTGCCGTTCTCCGGTTCTTCCGGAAACCGCACTGGACCTTGTGGAGGTACGGGTCGATTGTGGTAGCTATGCGACGTTGCAGCACGGCTGCGAAGATTTTGCACATGGAGCTCAATAGAGAAATCGGTTTGTAATTGCTCAGATTGCCAGTGTCTCCTTTTTTGATAAATCAGAACGATTATTGCCTTTAGTTGCTCTTCTGGTGCGCGCTCCTCCCTCCACCAAATGTTCAGCTCCGTTAAGATGAGAGTAAGCATTTCGTCGTCCATCTCCTTGAAAATTTCCACGGGGACTTCGTCTGGCCCCGGTGCCCTGCGCCTTTTGAATTTGCGAATTACTTCCCGGAGCTCGGGCAATGATATGGTTTCCGCGTTGAAGTTCAGAGGCTGTTCGACAATCCGGGGGCCCTCAAAAACCTCCGTTCGTTCATCCTCCCTCGCCGGCCAGATCTGTTGCTCAAGATGCGTGGCCGCTCCTTCAGCCTCGTCAGATACTCGGACCGTTTTTCCGCTTGAGTCTTTCTGGGTATAGGGGAGGGGCTTGTAATCAGACTTCAGATGCCGAGTACCACGCCAGCGATCTCTTAGATCTAGGTCTTTGCTCACAGACGCAAGTATCCTCTCTTTGCGTTCTTTTCTCTTCTGTCTTTGGACAGCCCGGTTCAGCTCTTGAGCCCTTTCGACATTCATGTCTATGAGCGCCTGTCCGCGTGCTTCGATGAGTCGCAGCAGCTCCGTGGATATACCGATTTTATCGCGTTTCGCTTTTTCCATCGGTATTTCTTCCCTCGCGACGTTCAGCGCTGCCTCAAGGAAGGAAGCGTTGCTCTGGGGGGGGGCCGTGGCATTTTTGAGCCGTTGGTTAAACTCGCGCCTTTGCGCGAGGCTGTGTTTCTCAAATTTGTCTTTGGTGCGGTTCTTAATGGCAGCCTGGGCTTTCAGTTTTACATTAATTTTAGCGTTTATGGGCATGTGGTCAGAATCAACGTTGGCCACCGGGTCACTTTCGCAATCAGTCACGCTGTTTTTCCACCTGTTAGGGACCAATAAATAATCGATCGTCTCATATCGACCAAGTGTCCATGGAGGGCCCATATTGGTTTGTATAGTTCTGTGCGTGGCTAATTTCTCCGAGCGCTTGTCGAAAAACGAATGAGCGAGCTGCGCTTTCGTAGTGGCGCAGTGGCTGACTAGGAGTGTCCTGCTTTCCCTCACCGAATCATCATGTGAGCCAAGTGTGATGTGATGTTTGTCAAACGTGTGTGGTCCAACGCATTCCTCGGTGCTTGAGTTTTTCACTTGCACTCTTGCGTTAAAATCTCCTGCAACATACGTGGGGCCTTTCCGCTGCTTTTTCTGTTGCAGGCTCTTTAAACGCCGATACGCCGCTTCTTTTGTAGCTGTGTCACGCGCTGCAGTGGGCATGTATACGCTTATGAAAGTCACAGGCAAAGTGTGACCCAGTGTGAGAAACATGATCCTATCATTGACGGGTTCGATATCAAGGATGTAATTGACAAACGAGTTGCTGATGACAATGGCGACTCTTGCGAACGTATTTGGGGAGTTAACGGTTTCGTCTCCGCTGAAAAACCATGCGTGGTGCCGTCGCACTTCCTTCACATTCTGGTTCACATGAGTTTCCTGCAACAGCATGATCTGTATGCTTTTTGTGCGCATATACTGCTCGACGGTTTCTCGCTTCCCCGCCTTTTTAATTCCTTTAATGTTAAGAGTGGAGACACGGAGCTCTGAGTCGTACTCGACTTTTAAAGTGGCTAGCTTGGGATTTGGTGGCGGTTGTCCGGGTTCCTGGGCCTTAACGGCCAAGTTTGTTATAGATCTGTTACGCTTTCTAGCTGAGTTACGTTTGAGGCTTCGTTTTTGTCTTCTTGCTTCCAATGACTGTTTGCTTCGTAAACCTCGGTTGGTGTTCCTACTTCGTTGATGGGGCTCGTTCGGTCTCCGCCGGTCCGTAGACCGCGGCTGACCCGCCACACCACTGACGGCGTCGTCCCCTAGCGCTGGATGCGTCGGGTGCGCACTGCGAAGGTTAGGAACAGGGGGGTGAACCAGCTGCGCCGGAACCACCCCGAAACGGACTGGCTGCGCCAGAACCGTCGGCGGACAGACTGGCTGCGCCAGAACTGCCCTCTGATGGGGTAAGGATTCGGAAGGTTGCGCGGGCGTCCCAACTGGCTGCGCCAGAATGGGCCTTGCAACCGTGACATCAGAGTCGCGGAGACCGTCTCGAATGGCAAACTTACACATGTTCAATGCCCTGCTAGACGGTGCCCTGCTGGAGTCTGGGGGGTGAGAAAAACATAGTTTGTTATTCGTATCACATTTGAACTTGTTCAACTCCTCTCCAAAAACTCCTCCTCTCATCCTGCTAACAGCCCTCCACTTCACGCGATTTTTCCTGATCGCCGTCTCCCAGCGCCCCCTCCAGCCACCCTCGCCGCACGGCGGGGGGGAAGGAGAAAATGGCAAGGCCGCCGCTGTAGGAAACGGAGCTCGGCGACAGGGCTGGAAAATATCATCTCCATCTCTCCGGACATTGCGTGCTGCGTTGTGCCGGGGGTTGCCCGCGTGTGCTGGGGATGTGGTTGCCGCTAGCTGCCGGGCCGGTCAGGCCCGCGCCCGGGCCGCCTTCTCCATGTCCCTCTTCTCCTTGAAGGTCATGGACTTCTCGATCGCCTCCTCGTTCTCGACGAGCTTGATGTCGACGTCGAAGGGGTACGTCTGCTTCTCGAGCTGCTTGAGCACGTGCTCCTTGACCTCCGATCCCGCCAAGATGTACCCGCCAATCTGGATGTTCTTCCGGAGCTGCACCACCATCTCCTCATCATGCTTGAGCGTGCCCCGGAGGAACACGTAGCCCGCCTTGGTCTGCATCGAAAAGTCCGGGTGCTGGTGGTCCAAAGGCTTGTGGGTGGTGAGCTCATGGCCGGCCGGCGGTGGCCAGACGGAGCGGTCCTTCATCATCTTGGAGATCTTGAAGTAGGCCGCGTCGGCGATGCGCAGGAGGCTGGCTTCGGACTCGCACTGCGTCAGCATGGTCCTAGCACCCTCCGTCGTCAGGAAGGCTTTCATCTGCTCCTCCACCTCCCGTTTCTTCATGGTGTTCTTGACCCGCAAGAGCAATGCTCTCTCCTCCTTGTCAATGTTTGCGATGTGCGTGCCATACCTGTCCATGATCTTGTCGGCGAGCGTCGGGAGGAAACGCTCGTGAAGCTCCTTGCCGTTCATCCTCTTGGTCGCCACGACTGTGATGACTCCTCTCTCCTCCCGGGCTGACGCCTTGTAGTCCCACCAGCCCTTTAGGGCGTAGGTGGTCTAGAGAGTTTCCTCTGCCAACCCCCCTTCTTTCCCTTCGGGGAGGGGTTTACCCCTCCCCTTACCCCTCCCCACTGACCTGGACGGGGCGTTCCGCGACGCGTTGGGACGCCCAAGATGGCCCAAGACGGCTCCAAGAGCGAAAAGGCGAGAAAGCACAAAACATTGATTTTCCTTAGGTTTTGGAAGGATTTTGGCCTCTTGGGGGGGCCCAAGAGGCGACTCGAGGCACTCTGGAGGGGCGAGGCTAATTGGGGACCCCCACTTCTTTGATAGATCTCCTCCAAGATGGCCCCAAGAGCGCCCCGAAGGCTCCCAAGAGCGCCCCAAGAGCGCCCCAAGAGGGCCCCAAGAGGAGGCCCCCAAGAAGAGGCCTCCAAGAGGCTGCCAAGAGACCCCCAAGAGGCCCCAAGACGGCTCCAAGAGCGAAAAGGCGAGAAAGCCAAAAACATTGATTTTACCTAGGTTTTGGACGGATTTTGGCCTCTTGGGGGGCCCAAGAGGCGACTCGAGGCACTCTGGAGGGGCGAGGCTAATTGGGGACCCCCACTTCTTTGATAGATCTCCTCCAAGATGGCCCCAAGAGCGCCCCGAAGGCTCCCAAGAGCGCCCCAAGAGCGCCCCAAGAGGGCCCCAAGAGGCCCCAAGAGGCCCCCAAGAGGCCTCCAAGAGGCTGCCAAGAGACCCCCAAGAGGCCCCAAGAGAGTCCAAGATGGCCCAAGACGGCTCCAAGAGCGAAAAGGCGAGAAAGCAAAAACATTGATTTTACCTAGGTTTTGGACGGATTTTGGCCTCTTGGGGGGCCCAAGAGGCGACTCGAGGCACTCTGGAGGGGCAACGCTAATTGGGGACCCCCACTTCTTTGATCGATCTCCTCCAAGATGGCCCCAAGAGCGCCCCGAAGGCTCCCAAGAGCGCCCCAAGAGCGCCCCAAGAGGGCCCCAAGAGGCCCCAAGAGGCGCCCAAGAAGCCTCCAAAAGGCTCCTAAGAGACCCCCAAGAGGCCCAAGAGGCTCCCAAGACGGCCCAAGACGGCTCCAAGAGCGAAAAGGCGAGAAAGCACAAAACATTGATTTTACCTAGGTTTTGGAAGGATTTTGGCCTCAAGAAGGGCCCAAGAAGCGATTCGAGGCACTCTAGAGGGGCAGCGCTAATTGGGGACCCCCCCTTCTTTGATAGACCTCCTCCAAGATGGCCCCAAGAGCGCCTCGAAGGCTCCCAAGAGCGCCCCAAGAGCGCCCCAAGAGGGCCCCAAGAGGCCCCAAGAGGCCCCCAAGAGGCCTCCAAGAGGCCCCCAAGAGACCCCCAAGAGGCCACAAGAGGCTCCCCGAGATACGCAAGAGGCCCCCGGGACCGCCAAGAGGCCCCAAAGACGGCCCAAGAGGCCCCCAAGCTCGCCATTGTCCTCCTCCTCCTCCTCTTTTTCTTCCTCCTCCCTCCTCCCCCTCCCCCTCCTCCTCCTCCTCCTCCTCCTCCTCCTTTCCTTTTCCTCCTTCTCGTCCTCCTCGTCCTCGCAGTCCTCCATCTCCTCCTCCTTATCTTCCTCCTCCTCCTCCTCCTCCTGCTCCTCCTCCTGCTCCTCCTCTTCCTCCTCCTACTCCGACGACGACGGCTCCTCCTACATCCTCCCCCTCTTGGGGTATATGGCGGCTCACCCCGCCCTCTGTTCTTCTGCATGCTCCCCCGCTTCCCTCATAACCTCCACTCCCCTGGGACTCATTTCTGGACGGGCTGGTGGGGATACGCGAAGCGTCTAGAATTTTCCTCCCTCACCGTCTTCAGTTGCTTGCGAGTGTAGCGCCTGAAGTCCGCGTTGCGCTACTCCTCGTCCCGCAGGTCCTCCTTCAACTCATCGATCCTGTCCTTCTCATCCATGTCGTCCTTCTTTCCCTTCCTACCCCTGTCCCTCTCCTCCTCGTAGTCCTCTTCCTTCCGGTGCTGCGCAGAGTCGCCTTCGGTGTTGAGTCTCTGCATCTTATGTGCCAGATCTTCCTCTTCTTCCGACATCGCTGCACCGTGAGTGGGCGATGATGGATCGCCCAGCGCTGCGCAAATATATATATATATATTTATACACTCATGTCATTGAGGATGTCGTGGCCGTCGTAGCTGCCGACGCCCGCCTCGCTGGGCGTTCCTTCGCCTCCTCGGTTCGCCTTGACCCCGTGGGCCAACCCGAAGGCCCCGAGAACCCTGATGAGCGGGTTCAGGAGGGTGGGGACCTCGCCTCCCTGGCGCGCCTCCAACCATGGTGCCATACCATGTTTGAGAACCCCAGGCCCATGCCTTTTCCCTTGGGCGAGTTTTCTGCGTACTTATCCTGCGTCGCTTTGCCCTGAGAGCGCGAAAGGCAGCGAAACGTCTCCTGGACCCCTTTCCTGCAAGACCCCTTCATGCTCCAGGGGGTGATTCTGGACATGTCTTGCCGCCGAGCCCTCGAGGATCGAGGGATGGGGTTGATGGGGGTAAGGCCGCGCGGAAGAGGGGGGGAACAAGACAACCGAACAAAAACACACAAGCGAGTTTGAGCCGAACGTTTCGGGCGCGCCCTCGACGGCGCGACGGCGGGTCGTCGACGCAGCGGGGCAGGCCCGCCCCAGATGCGGTTCTGAGCAGCACAGAAGCCGCTAGGAGGCCGACCCGCGCAGCAGCGGTCATCTTCCACGGGCCCGAAGACAGGCACGCCAGCCCTGTGGGCAGAGGTGGTCCAAGGCGCTTCCTCTTCCCACCCCCGTCCTCCTCGTCGGGGAAGAGCTCGCCCCTCCCCTTACCCCCTCCCCTGGGCCTGGACGGGGGGAAGCGCGGGGCGGTAGAGCGCCCAAAGTGGCCCAAGATGGCTCCGAGATGGCCCGGGAGAGCCCTAAATGACCCCCAAGACTTCACGATTGAATGCATATTCGCAGGGCGGGCCCCAAACGAGGCTAAATGCACGCGTCATCCAAAGTCACGCGAAGGGCTGAAATCCGTGGTGTTTCTACCGCCCCAGAGCTCCTGCTGCGATCAAGCGGGGGGGCATTCGTTAGTTGTCCCCGCCCCCGACCGAGAAAGATAGCGATGGCGAGCGGATTCAAGATGGCCCAAGAGAGCCCCAAGGGGAGCCCGATGGGGGAGACAAAATGGCCGCACGGGCGCCACAAATGCGCCTGCGTGGGGACCCGGGAGACCATTCACACTCGGGCCCCGAAGAGTGCCCCAGGATAGCGCAAAGAGAGCCTCAGAGGCACCAGAAATGGCCCCCTGAGGGCTCCCAGATGGTTCCAAGGGGCCTCGAAGAGTCCCCGACACCGAAAAGCCAGCGAAACAATTCATGGATTGTTCCTCTCGTCGCCGCGTGAACCGTCGTCGCGGCCGTCGCCATCGTCGCAGCCGCCGTCATCGTCGAACCAAAGGGCCCCTGCCCGTCAACGACAAAATACCAGTTCAAACCCTCTGACGTCATCGAACTAGGCGACTGGCCCCCATCTCTGCGCCAGGCTGTGTCGCAACCCCTCACATGCCAAAGGAAATCGCCAAGAGACCGCCCCTGGAAAGGGCTGGCGGAGCAAGAATGCGCGTCAATGCGTAAATTGCTGGTGACAATTTCCACATTCGCGGCGCGTCTGGGGTCAGATTCTGGGACAAAAAGAGAACTCCCGGATTCTGTTACAACGGGGCGCGGGTCCGGGGCCAGATGTCGGCCGGATCTTCCACGGGGCGCGCTTCCCTGTGAAAACATCAAAAGTTTTGCGAGCCGGCATTTGGATTAAGTCGGGCCTGTCCCCCTACAGGGGAATTTTGGGCGAAACATTAAAAATAACTCAAACAATACCCCCGAATAGTCAAAACATACGAGGAAATAGTCCCCAGACTATTTTTTGACCAATTTTGAATTGTCCTCCTGTAGAGAGACAGGCCCGACTTAACGGTTGGACCGGATTTCGACTGGACTTTTTGGTCGCGAGGGGTCGGGGGCGCCGCCGGGAAGGGGGAGCGGGGGGCTGGGGAGAGGCGGAATGAGGGGGGGCGAAGGCGCGGGCGGGCCCGCGAAGCCCCAGGGTGCCGAGGCTTTGCTTGGACGGGCGCCTCGGAGCCCAGCGCGGCCCAGGGAGGCACGCGGAGGCGCCAGGATGAGAACAAGAAAGAGCGCCACAAACATACAGTCAAGACGCTGAAATAAGGAACAGTTTGGGTTCGGAAGGGGCTCGATGTTCCTTAGGTTCCTCCAGTGCTGTTCCTCTTGCCCTCCTGGGGCACGGAGGCGCTCACAGGGCCAAGAAGGGGCTTCGTTCCTCATGTAGCGTTCCTTCTTTCAGCGGCCCGACTGTAAACTTGCGGCTCTCCGCGCGGATTCCCTGGGTGCGCGCTGGACCCCCCTCCCTGGCGCGCGGAGCGCGCCAGGGGCGGTGCCGAAGGCGCCGCCGGGGGGTCCAGCGCGGATCCAAGAAATCTGCGCGGAGCGCCAACATTTATGTTTATGGCGTTTTCTTCTTTCAAGGATGCCCCGGGAGGGGGGCTGAGGAGAAGCGGAAACAAGCAGCACGTTTGTCCATATTGCTTTTGCAAGGAACCGCGGCGCCATCAGGGCGGCAAGGACGCGATCAACTGCGAGCCAGAATCTTTCCGGAAATGATCCCACAGCATGAACCTCGGGCAATAGTTCGGGAGCTCGTTGCGGGCCAGCAGAAGGACTCAAGCCTCAATCTCCCGCTCTGTATCTCTCTGCGCACAGCGCGTTAATGTGGAGTCTACGCGCGGCCATGCACCCAAACCCGTTGCTTCAAACCCGATGCCCCCTGCAACGACACCCAGCTTGGTCAAACCGGACCGTAACGAGGCCCCTAAGGACATCCGAGGCTCCAAAGGCGCCCTGAGATGGCTCGCAGAACGCGCCAAAATTGAGCACGTTACCTGGGAACGACCTCAGAGGGACCCGCGAGGGTGATGGAGGGCCGGAAGAGGGCCCAATAGCTCGGCGTCGAGCAAAGGGGGTCCGACGTCGACCCCCAACGTCAAAATCTCACGACCCCTGGCAACTC